GCGAAGCGCTTCCGAAAAATATTATTGCCGCCTTCTCCCGGTGCAGGACGTCGAAGGCAGAGGTTCCGGAGACCTGCTCTCCCGATTGCCGGTTCACGCCGGCGAGCGGGATGGAGTAGTCTACGAGCGACGGCGCAGTACAGAGTAGGAGGCAAACTCTAGATTGATTTCGTGTCTGTTGCGTGAAGGTGGCGACTCGGTTTATATAGAGATAGGTCGCTTGATCAGGGCGCCCGCATGATCTCCACTCCGCGTAACCGAACCGGATAAGTCGCGCGTAACTTATTCGGACTCCACACCGAACCGGATAAGTCGCGCGTAACTTATTCGGACTCCACGCCGTTTTCACGCACCGGATTTTTCGAAATGTTTCCAAAACAAAACAAATCCGAATTTCCTACAGCAAAACAAAACTGCAAAAGAAGGCTGCATCTGCGCAAGGGTGAGGAGCCAATTTTGCGGACCATTCGACGTGTACGTCGTGCACACACGGCCAAGCCAAGCAAGCGAGCGAGCGTGTGTTCCCCCTCTTCTCTCCACCACACATGCTTCAAGTGGCTAGGAGGCATTCCTCCCTTTTAAGGAGGTCCCCCTCTCCTAGAATAAGCAAGGTGGTACTAAACTCCACATGTATGCCATCTCATGAGGTGGGCTTTTGTGATTTTTCAAAAATTAATCTTTGAGTGGGCTTTAGCCCATCCATTAATTCCAACAAGTTAATTGTTACACTGATCGGCATGCAGACAACCACTTTGAATAGAGCTCAATATCCGCAGGAGAAACATACGCATCTTCCTCACCTACAGCTTCCAAAAAGTCGCATATAGCAACCTGAAACTTCCAGTTCTCTCCACTTTTGAGCAAAGCTCTGTTTTCAAGCATTGTTCATAGCTTTGTCGCAAACCTTGCTATGTGTTTTTTTACAAAAATTTTCTATAGGAAAGTTGCTTTAAAAATCATATTAATCTATTTTTGAAATTTATAATAGTTAATACTCAATTAATTATACGCTAATGGCTCACCTTGTTTTACGTATCTTCCCAATCCCCTTCTCTCCAAACTCAGTCGGGCACCTCTACTACAACCGTATGTTTTTTAAGCAATTTCATCCAGGTTAACATTGGTTGGTACCTTTGAAGAAGACAACCAAAATATACGATGTGAATTAAAATAATGAGTCAATTATATATTATAGCACTAGAACATGATTACTCAAGACACATACCACAAATCTTCTAACTTTATCCTCAATCAATGCTCTCCGACATGAAAAATCAGGAAGCTGCACATATCTCTCAAACCTTTGCCTAAACAAAACAATAGAGTTAATATTAAGAAGTGCAATGCATACATTGATAAAGAAACATTTACTATTCGTACTTACGAGTTGTAACATTATTAAGTAAACATAGTATTGACTTCTGAGAATGTTTGAAAGCTACTATCACTGAATATGCGCAGTACTTTCGTGCTTATCCCGAAAATTGAGCAACCTATGGAACTTCGGGATTTTCGTCCCATTAGTCTTTGTAACGTCATTTACAAAGTTGTATCGAAATGTCTCGTCAATAGACTGAGACCTATCCTGGATGAGTTAGTTTCGCCTTGCCAAAGTGCGTTTGTTCCGGGTCGGATGATCACAGATAATGCGATTTTGGCTTTTGAATGTTTTCACTCCATACAAAAGAATAGAAAGCCTGAGAACGCTGCTTGTGCTTATAAGCTTGATATTTCAAAGGCTTATGATCGGGTGGACTGGGGTTTTTTGGAGGTATAAGCTGGGTTTCGCTCATCGCTGGGTTAGATGGATAATAGTTTGTATAACCACGGTGAGATACTCTGTTAAATTCAATGGAACTCTGCTCTCTACTTTTGCTCCATCACGCGGTCTTTGTCAGGGAGTCCCGTTATCCCCCTTTCTGTTTCTGTTCATAGCCGATGGACTACCATTGCTGTTGGAAGACAAAGTGGCTCAGGGAGCTCTCTCGCCAGTGAAGATTTGTAGGCAGGCCCCGGGGATTTCACACCTGCTTTTTGCTGATGACACGCTTTTGTTTTTCAAAGCTGATAACGTTCAAGCCCAGGCTGTCAAAGAGGTCATTACTGATTATGCTTTGGCAACAGGCCAACTCATAAACCCGGCAAAGTGCTCAATCATGTTTGGGGAATCCTCTCCGCCGCAGACTCGGGATGTTATTAGAGTGACCTTGCAAATAGCTAACTCTGGTTTTGAGGACAGATACTTGGGCTTCCCAACCCCTGAAGGAAGAATGTGCAAAGGGAAATTCCAAAGTTTACAGGAAAGAATCTGGAAAAGGCTTATTATCTGGGGCGAAAACCTGCTGTCGAGTGGCGGGAAGGAGGTGCTTATAAAATCCGTTATCCAGACTATTCCGGTATATGTGATGGGCATCTTTAACCTACCGGAGTCAGTATGTGAGGAGTTAACCAAGTTAACACGGAATTTTTGGTGGGGTGTAGAAAAGGGGAAAAGGAAAACACATTGGAAATCCTGGGAGTGTTTAACTCGTCCGAAGAGCAATGGGGGCCTAGGTTTTAGAGATTTTCGTCTCTTCAACCAAGCACTTCTAGCACGGCAGGCCTGGCGGCTCATTGTTAATCCTGACAGTCTATGTGCAAGGGTACTCAAGGCAAAATATTTTCCAAATGGTTCCCTTGTGGATACAAGTTTTGGAGGAAATGCTTCCCCGGTGTGGAAAGCAATTGAGTATGGGCTGTCACTTCTTAAGGAAGGAATTATATGGAGAATCGGGAATGGGAAGTCAGTGCGCATTTGGAGAGACCCCTGGTTGCCAAGGGATTTTTCCAGACGGCCAATCACGCGTAAAGGTAACTGCAGACTAAAATGGGTCTCGGAACTGCTGTCAGAAAATGGTGCCTGGGATGAAACCAGAGTAAACCAGGTGTTCTTACCTGTTGATGCTGAAGCAATATGCAGTATCCGGGTCTCCTCACGGCAAGAAGATGACTTTGTAGCATGGCACCCGGATAAACATGGCAAATTTTCAGTGAGAAGCGCATATGGGCTCGCATGTAACCTTGTTAATATGGAGACCAGTTCTAGTTCTTCTTCCGCAAGATGCAAAAGAATGTGGAATCTTATATGGCAGACCAATGCCCCCCAAAAGGTCAGAATTTTTGCATGGAGAGCAGCCACCAATTGTCTAGCCACAATGGAGAATAAAGCAAAGCGGAAGCTGGAGCAATCTGATATATGTTTAGTGTGTGGTTTAGAAAAGGAAGACACCAAGCATGTGTTGTGCAGATGTCCTGACGCCAGGAACCTATGGGGGGCCATGTGTGAGGCGGGTAATATATCTCTAAATGGGGGTAATCTGTGCAATGACCCGGGTTGGATTTTTGATCAACTGGAAATCCTGTTGGATTATGAGCGAACTGTGTTCCTGCTGATTCTTTGGAGGATTTGGTTTGTCCGGAATGAGATCGTCCATGGGAAGCAACCACCCCCTATAGAAGCTTCCAAGCGTTTCCTGGAGAGCTATGTAAAGTCACTGTTGGAGATCCGGCAACATCCTCAAGCGAATGTAGAGAAGGGGAAGCATGTTATTTCCTTTGTTAATGGGAAAACCAATCCAGCCAGGCGACCTCCTGAGGATAAAAATCAAAAATGGAGGAAACCGTGTGAGGGGTGGATGAAAGTTAATGTTGATGGCTCCTTTGATGCGCAGACTGGGAGTGGAGGCATTGGCGTGGTTATGCGGGACTGGAGCGGGAAGGTAATTTTCGCCTGCTGCAAACACCTGCCTCGATGTGGTAGTGCTCTGGAATCAGAGATTTTAGCTTGCAAGGAGGGCATTCTCGTGGGACTCCAATGGTCGCTTAGACAGTTTGTAGTGGAGACGGACTGCTTGATGGTGGTGCAGATGCTCGAATCAAAGGAGAGGGAAATGTCTGAGGTAGCTTTTTTGGTGAAAGAAGCTACAGAACTGTTATCCGGTGATAGGGAGATTCAGCTCCGGAAAATTCATCGCAGCCAAAATTCAGTCAGTCATTTATTAGCAAATAAAGGCCGTTGTGAGGGCCTGTCTGTCTTTTGGTTAGATCATGAATGCTCTTGTATTTCTCGTCTTGTTTTGGACGATTTAAGTCCTGAGTAATATATCCCTTTCCCCACAAAAAAGTTTGTAACTTGTTTAGTCCGATAATATAGGAGTAAAAAAAACAATACAGGATTAGTCAACAAAACCAATCCATAAAACATAGGATTACTCGATTGCATTTTTGGATGTTTCGTATGAAAATTGCACATTTACTTGAAGAGTGAACGGCTAAAAGAAATTCCAAGAAATTGAGGCTCACGCTAGATTTTTTTTTTCAAATGCTTATGGATTGGCCTACTCCATATACAGGAGTTCCAAGATATTTTTTCCTTTTTGTTTGTTTACAAGAGGGTAGAGATAAAAACGATACGAAATATTTCCAGTTTCTCAAGATATGCCAAGCCAACCAGTCGATGTGCTCATAGGGTAAAAACAGTAAAAAAAATAATCTTATTAGTGCTCAACCTGTGTGTTTTAAAAAAAAGAGTGAAAAGTATAAACACGACTACAAGCAGCTTTCTATATTAATTAATGTCACTAAAAACTATCCTCCTACAATATTAGAGACAATAAAATTTCTAAACCATTAATGCATAAATATTTTTTTTATTATACTTCTTTCTTTTTCTACACCCTCATGCAACAAACTTTCTATTAATAAATGTCAAGAGTCAACTCTGAGCTGTTGTCATGCGTAGCAATGTGTTTCTCCATACTTTCCTTTTTTTTTCCACGTCATCAAATTTACTTGCATGACAACGAAGAGAACCCGTTATTAGACACTGTTGTAAACCGGCATTGCCTTGATGATCCTTTTATGCACTTCCTGTCACGGTCCGGCCCATCCTAGCTGCCGGCCTGCCCCCGCAGGACCGGGAACTTTGGGAATTTCCTTTGGATCCAGCATTCCAGTGATTCCGTCGGAACTGAGACCGAGACGACGCCCGCACTCCTCCTGCGGGCCAGGGGTGTCAGCAGCACGGCGGCGGAGGAGCGGAGCAAGGAGGGAGGGAGCCACCTGATCCACAGGAGCGCCGCGGCCAAGCCGCCCCCGATGTGTGGCTCTCCCGGCGCACCCCGATTTCCTCGCCCCCACCTCGGTCCTCGACGCGACAACGACCAGTAGCACCGCCGCTTCTCCGCCGCTCGCTCCGACTCCGAGCCTTAAACCCTTCTGCCCCCCACTTCCGCGACCTCCGGAACTCCACCAGCAGCAGTCACGCACGTCTCTCTCTCTCGCCCCGCGTCCTCCACATGGCGGCGTCCACCACCTGCCCTGCTCGCTCCATGGCGTCCGTCTCCCGAGCCCTCCGCCCGCGGCCGCACGCCGCTATCGCCTCCGCCGCCGTCCGCACGGCTGCTCGTCTCGGTACGGCGCTCGTTGGAGCCTGTTTGGAGGAGACTTTTGCTTCTTTTTTTTTTCCCATTCCATCCCTCTGAGCTGGATGTTGGCTTGTACGCAGGGGGCGGATTGGGGATCGTTTGTTCGATGCCAAGCTATGGTAGGAAGGAGAAGGAAGAATGGGGATTGACCATTGCGTCCGCACCGGCGACCACTGCTGCTCCGGCTCTGAGGTACGTGCCGTATGAGCACCTCGTCGATGTTTATTGGGTCCGGGGAATTGCTTTCCTTAGGTCGTGGATTACCCAATTACAGAAGAGATCAGGGTTTGACTTGGTCAACACAAACTGCGTTTGTTGAGTGTTCACTAGTCACGTTGTGCTAATTGGAAGTAGGTGCTGCAACCTTTCTCTGCTACTTTAACCAAAAGTCCCATCTGAAGCTGCAAAGGCTGCTGATTGGGGGTTCAACAACTGCAGCTTATTGTAAAAGGAGAATCCTGAATATCCTTCTGGTGATGTGCTCCAACCAAGGTCCCATGTGGTCACAGAACTTAAAGTTTTTTTTTCATTATGAACACTTCCCTTTGGAAGTATAGGTATCTTAATGTTATCATGAAAACACAGTAACAACTCTAAAATACTGGCTTTAGTCATTTAGTATGAGTAATGCTTTTGAAGGAAGTAAAATGTAAACTAGAAGGGATGAAATTGATGAACTATTCAATAACCATATAGAATGGGTATGCTGCATGTGGTGAATTTGAAGTACATGGTATACGCTAGCAACTGATCAATTCTCAAATTTCCTCTAAACATTGCTATAGATGCAAAAAAAAAAAACTTTTAAAAGAGTGACTTTGTAAGTAATCACGGTGGCCAAAAGTTCTTGCTCTACCATTTTCAGCTGTCCCAACTAGATTAACTCAGTGGATTAGTTGTGTGAGTTGTGTTTACTTTAGTCATGCAATCTGTTGAACTTCATTGTATGCTTTTAAGCAAGGTGGCATGTGTGCCTATCCTTCTAAGCTTTGCATTTCGATGTTTAAGGGAAAATTCATCATTACCTTCTATATTTTGAGTATCTTCTGGACTATATTTGCATGCCTCAGAACAAGATAGAAAGTGAATTGATTGGAACTTCTCATAGTATTATGTTCTGTCTCTGTAGTCAGTCGAAGTATTTGCTGTTCTGTTTAGTGCAATCATGACCCATTCTTCAATCCCCTAATCTGATTGTTTTCACCATTTTTCTGTTGCACCTTATGTTTTAGTGTTATGGCATTTCTAATCTGTAGTTCAGTAGTTTATATTTGAGAAAAAAAGCCCAGTACCTTTTGCAATTAAATTTTCTACTAATTAGACCAAAAATTTCAAGGCGTGATAGCTAGCATACTTGCTTTCCTTACAGGCCACATAGTTATATTTTTAAATAGTGCAATTTCATCCACATGATTAATGATCCTACAGATCAGCAAAACTATATTGCTGGCCTTTCTTGAATAATCTCATTATTAAACACTTGTTGCTCTGATTTTAATTACTTATGGTAATGATGAAATGATCTGTTGTTTCCTCAGAAGCTGTCAACTATTGTGCAAGGCTGAAGCTAACATATCCAGTAATCTGCCAGAGAGCATTCCTAGTGAAGCAAACCAGTACGAGAAAATAGTTGAGCTGCTTACCACTCTTTTCCCTGTCTGGGTAAGTTGATTTGGGAGCATTTGAGGATTTTATCTGCCCTTTTTTAGCTTCTAGTTCTGTTACATTTGGTGGTTTGTAAAGCAAATATTAAAAAATGTACTAAGGCAGAGCTCACCTTTTGCAGGTCATATTAGGTACCATTATTGGCATCTACAAGCCATCGATGGTAAAATTTCTAACTTGACAATACCCATTACTGTCTGTACTCAACAGCAAATGCCACAGAAACTGACTTTATAGTTTTCTTGGAAAACTTTCAGGTTACCTGGTTGGAGACTGATCTTTTCACTGTGGGCCTAGGATTCCTAATGCTATCAATGGGACTAACATTGACCTTCGAAGATTTCAGGAGATGCATGAGGAATCCATGGACTGTATGTTTCTGCTCCTGAACGTCTTCTCTTAAAGAAATAGTGATTATTTTTCTGTACTTGAGGCCTCCAACTTGATATAGGTTTACTAATGCAATTGCCTGTTGCAGGTGGGTGTGGGATTTCTTGCGCAGTATTTGATCAAACCTATGCTGGGATTTGCTATTGCCATGGTAATGCTAGGCCATGCCTTCCTATTATTTCTAATGAAAGAACAAAAAAATGAAATAAACACAATCTGTTATTCCTTTGTTTGGATATGCTGCTATGGCAGCTATGCTAGGCTTTCCTTTCATGCGAAACAGGCTTGTTAAAGATTCTCATGTAAACTCTGGGAAATATTAAATTGAAAGGTTGGTGCCTTGCTCAAAGAAATAATTGATTTGACAAGCCCTTCCCTGAAAAGATGCACATGCCATTATGCTACGGTTTCTTTTCATGAGATTTTTCATGCAAATGTTAATTGTAATTAAATTAAAAAGGTTGATGTCTTGATTAAATCAATAATCAATAAACTGATCTGACAAAGCAACCTTAAAGATTTGAAGGTTCAAGATCAACATCAAAGATTTTTTTAAAGGTTCAAGATTGTTCTCTGGTTTCATTTTTAGGACCTTTTCCTTTCATTTCCTGTGTCTTGGATACTTTGAGCATGTCACGTATCTCAAGTTTCTTTTGTTTTTCCATTTAATTTTACCTTTTTCCCTTGTAAGGTGATATCTCATCTCATTGCAATTTTTATGTGAAGAAAGTTAATCTATGTAGGGTAGCCGATACAATTTTATCATATCAAATGTAAACTCTACCCGTTATCTGCATTCTTTGTTTTCCATTGCTGTCTATTTGAATCCATAGAATACAATTTCAGTGGTATAGTGTTTCTCTTTGGTTATTGCAAAAAAAGTTTGAACCTAAAATTCCTTCTAGTGCATTTTTTTTCACTAAGATATCTGCACAAATTTGACGTCTATATTTAGGTGCAACCTAATATGGATGTTTATTTTACAGACCTTGAAGTTATCTGCTCCTCTTGCAACTGGTCTTATTTTAGTGTCATGTTGCCCTGGTGGACAAGCATCAAATGTTGCTACTTATATATCCAAAGGAAATGTCGCACTTTCAGTTCTTATGACAACGTAAGCTTCAGATTTGCTTGAGAAGAAATTTCTTTGGTGCTTGTTCTGATCTACTTGTTATACATGTACCTTCATCTTTCTTGAGGTTCTTTATCCCTAATTAGAGTGACAGCCTTTATAATTGATTTCTGTTGTGCTCTTATCATTCTGTTATCATGGTAAATTACCCGTTTTTTTCTTGGAAGACACATTTTCATGCTAGCCAGTCTCAAAAATATTGAATACATTGGTTTAGATTGTTTGTATGTGTTACCAGTTTCGCAAGTTTTAACCGGCATATTTATTTGATGCCAACACTTTTGTATTGTCTGTACTCGCATGCGTAGAAAATATCTGCATATCATGGTTACACACTCAACAAGCTTTCTATTGAGACATCAAATTTGGACACACTATTTACGATTCCAAAGATTTAGTTCACAGATTGCTTTTAGCATGCCAATTCAATTTGACATGCTTCCAGCCATGAAGCGTTTAAAGAATGTTACTACCTTGTACCTTTTCTAGTAGGTTTTCATGGCAGGCTTCATACATAAACTCTTTTTTTGGATGATAGGACCATGTTCCAAAACTATTATAGTTTGATGTAATTATTATCTGAATGAATGTTGACACAATTTTGTTTAGTCGTGTAAGCAAAACAACCTAATATGCATGGCTTGATTGGACAAAGTATAGTTTAAGGGCTGGAATTGAGGGCATACGGTGCTATTTTGCCTATGTGCTATTATTCTGCTATTTTGTTGTGCCATTTGATTTTAATACAGAAACCACTTAGGATGTGTTCAATTGTGCTGGTTCGTAACTCATTCTCCCCGCACGGAAAATGAGGTAGCTCATGATTAAGGCTGCGTTCGACACCGATGGTTCAGAACCTCTCTCCGGCATGAAAAAAGGGATGACTCATTAGCACATAATTAATTAAGTATTAGCTAAAAAAACTTTAAATTTGATTAATATGATTTTTGAAAACTATTTTCCTAAAGAATTTTTTTCTGAAAAACACATCGTTTAGCAGGTTAGGAAGCATGCGCACGGAGAACGAGAGAGTAGAAGTTGGGAAAGGTGAGTATAGAACACACCCTAATTAAGTATTAGCTTAAAAAAAACTTGAAAAATGGATTAATATGATTTTTTAAAGCAACTTTTCTATAGAATTTTTTTGCGAAATACGCACCGTTTAGCAATTCAGGAAGCGTGAGCGCGGAAAAAGAGGGAGTAGAAGTTGGGAAAGTGCAGTATAGAACACACCCTAGATACTCTGTTTTCTTCCTGAGTGTCATGCTCCCAATTCTACTCTGACTAATTGTGATTATCTTTACATTTCAGTTGTTCGACTATTGGTGCTATAGTGATGACACCACTCCTTACTAAACTCCTAGCTGGTCAACTGGTTCCTGTCGATGCTGCAGTAAGGGCACCATGATTCATATTTAAAACCAACTAATAATCCATTTTTATTTATCAAGTGTCCATCAGTATAAGAAAATTACATCTGTCCAGGGATTGGCCATCAGTACTTTTCAGGTTGTTTTACTGCCAACTATTGTCGGAGGTACTAAAGAAGCCCAATGGATACCTGTTGTGCTGTACTTTGGGATCTTATCTTTGACAGATTTACTGACTTTATTTCCATTATTTTGCAGTCTTGGCGCATGAGTATTTTCCTAAGTTTACTGAGCGCATTATATCCATAACACCATTGATTGGGGTTCTCCTCACCACTTTGCTTTGTGCTAGTCCTGTAAGTCTGAAAACAACTCCGTGTTCTGTTTCACTTCCATACATTGCTGATTGTTTAGGCTCTCCACAAATTTTGCAAATTTATCTGATTATGATGTATTATCGTCTGTTCTTTATTTTGAGTAAATTGCTGCTCTCTTCATTTTCATTTTGAATATTGTAAATGGCTAGATGAGGCTAGATGAAACATAACTTAGTTACAATGTTTACTTGAATTTACTGTTTCTTTCCAGATCGGACAAGTCTCAGAGGTGTTGAAAGCTCAAGGTGGTCAACTTATAATTCCCGTTGCTCTGCTGCATGTTGCTGCCTTTGCACTTGGGTATTGGTTATCAAAAGTTTCCTCTTTTGGGGAATCAACTTCTAGGACTATCTCTATTGAATGCGGGATGCAGGTAAATAAATGCTGAAATGTCTTAGATATAATCTGTTATTGTCCAGAACCTGCGGTTTGTACAGTCTTTGGTTATTTAATGGTTCTTATCGTTGCTATGGATGCCTCATGCCAGAAAGGCATAATCAAGTCAACATGCCTGTTTCATGCAGTCTATTGTGCTGGTGTTGTTTAGATGTAGTTTCTCATTTACTTATGCAGTAATTTCAGCACTCTGCAGCATTCTGTTGCCACCTAATTAGGCTAACATGTTTCCTCTGTTTAATTATGGTGAATATTAGAAGGCCCCAAGATAACAGGATGAATATGTCTAGTTTTACACTATTGAGCTTCGAGCAATGAAACGAGGCTGTTGACAAGCTTGAATCTTGATGATGTTATAAGTACTAGTAGTTTAGTAGTATGCAAAGTAATTTTTAATAGAGCGCTGTAATTTTTAATGACATTTGTGCTTAACAATGTCTCTTCCTGTTTCCAGAGTTCTGCACTTGGATTTTTACTTGCCCAAAAGCACTTCACGAATCCACTCGTAGCTGTTCCATCTGCTGTCAGTGTTGTATGCATGGCGGTACGTTTCATTTCTATTTTCTCCTAATGCTACAAGCATGCACATCAATAGCAAATACCATCTCATATTTATATAATGAGTGCTGGAGTTCGTGAATGTCTAATTTAAGGCGTTCTATTGTAACAGCTTGGAGGGAGTGCTCTTGCAGTTTTTTGGAGGAACAGAGGGCTTCCAGCAAATGACAAAGACGATTTCAAGGAATGAAACACCAACACCCTCCAGTTTCTAGTCATTACCTAGTGTTGTTTTTTAGTTCAGTGGAGTTATCACAGCATTTTTCTTGTTACCCATATTTTAGCAAGTTGATTATCAGTAGGACTTGCCTACTTGGTAGGTCTGTTGTATTGCACTCTTATCTTCCAAATAAGCTGCAGGTGCTTCTCTGCAAAGCACTCAATTTATAGTCCGTTGCCAAGTGAATGCATTGTAATATTATGCGCGGTGAGTAAATAGATTTCCAAGAATTGCTATTCCAATCTATTGAAAGGTCAATAAGCTTTGTATGTATTCTTGCTGAATGCAGTTTTTCCTTTAAGAAAATGGGAAAAGAGTGAAGTTCACCATCAGTCCTTAAACTTGTCATGATGTGTCATCTAGTTCTTTTAACTTTGAAAATATATAGATCTAAGTTCTTATTTTAAATGTGTCATCCCGATCCAAAGTTGCCATGTCCTCTTTGTTATCTTACGTGGAGCCAATGTGGCTGCCACCTCCCCTCCTCTCTCTTCTTTCCCACTCTCCCATAAGTGGCCCACATTTTTTTTCCTTTTTCTCTTTTTATCAGAGTATGCAGATTAGATCAGATCAGCAAGTTTAGAGATCTAAAACAGCATTTTCAGAGTATAGGGATCTGGATAACAGTTTAGAGAACTTTACTATTTATTATGTGCGTCCACTAAGATTTAGTAATGCTTGGCCTTGTTTTCGGTTAATAAGAAGATTGAAGGAGGCCTTGTTCGGTTAATCAAAGAAGATTGAAGGAGATTTAACAGGAGTAATTCCATACTTATTTAGGTTGAAGTTAATCCCTCTCAATCTTCTCTAATTGCTTCCTCCTAATGATTAACCGAAGTCCTAGAAGTATCTCTATGGTAGTTGCATGTTTACTTTGCTCAAGATCTGATAGGTCATTAGGTTATCGGATCAAATCCTAGTCGTTCTTTTTCTTTCCTTCTTTTATTAATTATTTCCTCTTTTGTACGTCGTTTTCGAATATATATACGACTAAACTTAGAAATGTTTGGACACTACATATTCACAAATACTCCATAAAATTATTGCTATGTGAAAGTAACAATATGATAGATTCATATGAAAAATAAGGAAGATTAAAAACATTATGATTCGGTAGCTTTTTGCGGATTTATTATGTTGGGAGTGTCTAAGATTTCAGGTGCCTGAAATTTTTAATAATTTCAATAACTTTTCTCATCCCTTGATGACAATCTAGTGGTTCTCACCATTCCCTTATTACTTATACTTATCAGTCCCTAATGGTTGAATAATAAATTATAGCAAATAGAAAAGTACAAAATTATATGAATTAAGCCTATAGCTCATAAAGATATACTACAAAATTACATGAAAAAAAAGCTCAAACTTAGATATAAATAAAGTAAAACCATATACTACCTCCATCCCAAAATGTTTGACGCCGTTGACTTTTTAAAAATATTTGACCGTTCGTCTTATTCAAAAAATTTAAGTAATTGTTAATTCTTTTTCTATCATTTGATTTATTGTTAAATATATTTTTATGTATACATATAGTTTTACACATATCACAAAAGTTTTTGAATAAAACGACGGTCAAACATGTTTAAAAAAGTCAACGGTGTCAAACATTTAGGGAAGGAGGGAGTATATAGTAGCAAACTGCAGTTAAAGTAAACAAAAAAAAATGCAAATTGTGTAGCATTGCAATTTCAGGCTTCGCAATGCAAGTTTAGGTGACTGAAACGTCTAAAACCTAACAAATCTCTATTATATTGTTAGAAGAGTTGAAGATCAAAAGTACAGAACTGAGATCATTCACAATGTCAAAAGAGACTACAGGAGTTAATATATAAGAGAGAGATATGTTCATTTATTTAATTGAGCGTAAAACTTGTACATTGCGTATAAAATCACGGGCTTCTTAGAGGTAAACAGAGAGCTTCTCTAAAAGCTCATCCAACAATATTCGTTTTGACATCTACCTTCTGTCCAATCTACCATGCACCTATACGTTTTAACTTGTGTCATAACTCATAACATATATATACTGATGGGCTTTTAGAGAGGCCCTCAGGTTACCTTAAGAAGCCCATAATTTTATACACGATCGTAGTTTTATGATAAACTGTATCAATATTTATACGATATTATATCAATATTTATGGTTAACGTGGAAGCTATAAAATATTCAATTAGTATAGGCATGAATATTTCGTATCAACTTTTTAAGAATGATAGCTAGATTTATCTTCAAATTAGTTTTTGAATATTATAATTTTACTATATAATTGATGTGTGTCATACACGTATTAATGATCAAATTAGTATCTTAGTTAGTGACTGTGTCGTTATAAAATGCTACTCCTACTTGCGACAGGAGACAGTACTAGGAGACAATTAAGCCTACAGTCACACTCCTCCAATCGGAGCTCGATCGGGACTCCGGAGGACGCGGTACATTTCGATTTAAAGGCAGGGAGAAGTCGATGTAAAACTACAGCGTTTATGTACCCTGCAGCATCGGCATAGCTCCTGTGTATCTTCCTGCCGTCCTCGTAGCTGCTTAGTACTGCCAAAGCACGCATGAATTGAATAGAACTGCCACGGCGCAGCGTCGTCATGCATCTTGCACATGATGTCACTGGCAACTGTGCACGACGTACGTGAGGTCACTGGCAACTATAAAAAATTGAGTCTCGCTCCGGTACTGGCACGATCGCGTACGGAGTACACTCCAGTGCTCCTCGGCATAACGCGCGATGTCAGTCAATGCAATGCAAGCACCTCATGTCGATCAGCTCCATGGCCGGATCGGCCGGATCTCCGGGGATCGAAGAACGTACGCCCGTCGATCGCACGACGGACAACTCGAGAAGCACACGCGACGCGACCGCTAGCGTCTAGCGAGTGATATTTGCATGCATGCAATGCATATATGAACGGCGTGGCACGGCATGCAGCTAGCTGTAGTAGCGTGGATGTGGCATCTTTTCTCTTTTTCACTCCGGTTTTGACGACGGGAGAGCCACGCCTATCATGGTGCCATCATTAGCCCGCGTCCACGCAACGTCAAATCGACACGTTGCTGATCTTGACCCTACGGAGGTTGAAGCAGCTAGCAGAGTGGCGATATCAGATTGCGACGTACCCGCCTCTGGCTCATGGAGGCATATAAGAGCAAGCAGGCTATAAGCTGTCTAAACGGATGAGAGAAAAAAGGAGAGAGAGGAGAAGCGGACTGTAGACTTACAGCTGGCTTGGACATAAGAACCTCTGTGAGAGAGATAAGTGGGTCCTATATTAATTGTAAAGAGCTAACTATTATATGGGTAGGCTGAGAGAATGATAAAAAGAATCTTATAGCCAACAGGTCGGCTGTATTATTAGCCTTACTCTGAGCAGAAAGATATCCGGAGCGTATTTCCCGTTGATCTCAACGTTGGGCGGTGGCTCTCTATATGATGCCTTGATCACTTTGATTTGTCAATGCATGTTTGCAAATCGCAACCGATCGATACTAATGCGGCTAGATCGGACCCTACACTAATCGGTCCTTTAGTGGCGAACGTTAACGGTCCCAAGCTCCCTCAGACAACCCAAATGTAAACTGTAAGTGCTGTGACTGTGAGTAAACAAAAAAAAAAAAAGGTACACAGGCGCCCTGCACCTTGCTGCGCGTTCCATCCGTTTTGCCAGGCTGTGCGTACGCAGAGAGAGCGAGCAGAGGGGATACTACAGGTCGGTAGATGCATACGAATGGATGGCTCGCCTTTCCCGTCACGCGTTCCTCGGCGGGAAACGCTCGTCTCGTCACGCGAGCGGGGAGAGAGAGAGGATGCGAATGCGATGGAATATCCCGGTAATTGTGTGGAGCCGTCGATCCATCCATCCGTTCTCCGTTCTGCGCTCGCTCGCGCCGCGGCCTCGGCGCTCGAGAGAGTATGCTGCCTGCCTGCCTGCCAACTGCCGTCGTCACGCGCGTGCATGCCATGCCATCCCGCCTGCGAGGCTGCGACCGACGTGCAGCAATGCACGGTGCAAAAACGCCCCCGCCCGCCCGCCTGTCACGTGACCTCACCGCGGCGCCCCACGCGACGAAGCGCAGAACACCGGCCCCACCGAGCGCATGCAGCTAGTACTACGGCTTTGTGTGCCTCGCAATTTGCGTGCTCGCATGCGGCCGGAGTAGCTGCTAGCCGTATGCCCGTATGTAGCGTGGACCATCGCGCGCGCCCCGCCGGCGGAGATGACCTGCGGCTGACGCCACGCCTTCCTCGTCTCTGCACTCCACGCACCTCGTCTCTGCGTGTACGTCGTACTCCTACATCTGTCCGCCCCGTCACGTCCCAACGAACGGTGAATGATTGAGACGATGATGATATCTTTTTCTTCTCCATTTCTCTATACTCCGTGGAGTAGCTCGCAACAGGGGAGAGCAGGGCACGGAGATTGCGTGCGTAACAGCGTAAGGAAGGGTCGTCGCTCCTTTGCCGTTCTTGGCAAGTACTAGTACTACACTTGAGTGTGGAGGGTCTCTCGACTCTTGAGTGACCAATAGCCTTTTCACCGAACGATTCCGCGAATCCCCCCGGTGCACGGAGCCTGCTGGATGACGTTATACATACGTGTGTGTACAACACGGAATCGGATTTTAACTGTGGCAACAAATGCGTCGTGAGCAGTCTTATGTTGGGTGAAGAAGAACCAAACAAAACACAAACTTGCATGCCCAGCTTAGAGAGAGTACCCCTACGTGCCATTTTCTCCCAGCGCGAGAGGCGCTTCCATAACTACAGTGCCAAAGATGGACTCACCCTGGACCTACGTAGAGTACCTCCTTTGTTGCATGCATGCATGTGGTAGAGACTGGCTCACCCCACGATTGCTCGATCGCAATCACTCAATCTCAATTGCCAGAAGATTCGGGATCCTGTACTGTGAGCATGCATGCATGATCTATCGCAGGAGCATCAACTGCATTGCATTGTTTAGTCCGGTCTCTTCTTGCATCGCTCGTTGCTCAACAAATGCTTCACTGTGGCGCACACAGTCGCACACTACGGTCCAAGCTACTAGTTCAATAGCTAGGCTGATCCATCTTCCAACTACCCCATGGTCCAAGCCTAAAGCCTACAAACAATATACTCGATATAGGGATCAATATTAATCGAGCCTCAAAAAAATTTCATATTTAGGGAGTGAAAGAATAAGGCGAGAGAGAGAGAGAGAGAGAGAGAGAGAGAGAGAGAGAGAGAGAGCTAGAGCTAGCTGGTATTTGCATGCTTTGTGGCGATCGAGAGACCATTGGATATATATATATATATATATATAAAATGCTTCTGAGGTGGTA